TTTGGCATGACCGTGCTGCATAACACCATGCCCAGCACACAAATCCACCCTGTCTCGTAAGGTGAGCACTAACGAAGGCCTTTGCTGAGCAGCATGGCTGCTGGGGGATACATGAGCCCCCCAAACCCTGCGATGGGCCGTGCAAGGAGGCGTCGGGCTCTTGCGCAGGGTATAGCCCCGTGAGGTGCAATGGGAGGACAGGGGGGTACCGCTGAGGCCCAGCTCAGCCCCGGGGGGACTGCTCACAGCTTTCAGCAAACGCATGGGGCTGTTGGTCCTCACATTTGTCCGTGGGAGTTCCCAGGTGCGGTGTTATGCTCTTGCTATCTCCTATCCACAGTGAGATTTGTGCTGAGTCTGCATTTTAGGAGCACCGTTACACACAAGCATCCAGAGTGTCCTTTTTCCTTGAATGGAAACAAGTCTGTAAAAAAAGCCCACCTGGCAGAGGGGGAAGGGTAGTGTGTTGCTATTTAGGGGAATTTATTTGCAGCTCCTTTTCTGCTGCACACAAATAAACCAGAACCTGCAGCAAATGGGCTCCCAGAGTGCCAGAAGAAATCCATCTTCTACACTGATGTTTATTTTCAACAGATGGCCCATCATACCTGCACATCAAAGTGTTAAAAAAGAAGGAAAGAAAAAGATGAAGCCAACAAAGGGCTTTATGAGTTGGAAGAGACCATTCCCGTTCAAAGTGCAAACAAGTAACCCTCCCAAAAAGTACATTTTCTTCAGGAAAAAGGAGACCTTCAAGGACCTCTTTTTTTTTTTTTTGATTTATCTCCTCCTTGTGGCAGCTCGCTGGTGAGTTTGTAGAAGTGACTCGACTGCCACGTCATGTCATTTCTAGAGAGAAAACCTGTTTCCTAGGATGTGATGGAAAGGAAAAGCCGAGCTCAGCAGGTCTCCATCCTGCCCAGGGCATCCCAGATGGGAAACACAGTAGAACAACCCCATGTAAATGTAGTTCTAATTGGTACAATTACTTTGATTAGGATGTGATTTTTAATTTTAACCGAGCAGTTACAGAGGCGCAGCACCTACAGCAGGGGCTGTGCTATCAGGAATAAAGAGGTTTTTATGCTGCCACTGCATATTTTCCTTTTTGTGCAGGAATCGGGAATAAACTCTGCTTCAACTCCACCAGACCTGCGAAAGCAGCAGAGACCTCAGAGCCTGCTTGGACAAGGCTGAAGACAAAGTCAAGGTGATGCTTATTCCCTTTCCGTTTGGGATGCTGCCGAACGTGGATCTCTCTGATTTGTTGCCATCCTAAAGGTCCAGCCATCACAGGATTGTGCGTGTTAAGAGAACAAAATGTCCATTGCTGCTAAAAGGAAAAACAACCACCGTGACAGTGTTTAACCAGAATGTAAATACAGCTAAATTATGGACGTAGAAGTGTGAAACCGTGGAGAAAGATGATAATGGAATTATATATCAGTGCTCAGCACAACTGTAAAAACTAATGTTTTATACATGTGTAACGTTAAATTAATCCATTTCAGTTCTTTCAGGTGAAGGTACATTAACTGCTCATCTCGGCATAATCATATTACCTCAACAGGCTCTATATATGTCATACTTTCAGGGTGGTAATCGCCATTTGATTAATTACAGGGAATTGAGAGGCATTACAGCAGTTCTTTACGCAGCAGTATAATGTGACAGAGTCCCCTCATCCCTCCAGGCTGACCTGCTGTCCGCACCGGCCCACCCTCCGCTGCCATGGCTCATGTCGCTGCCCGAACATCCTCTCAGGCGGCACCCAGCAGGTGCTTCTGAAACTCAGTGCTTGGCAGCCAGGATCAAGCCTGGACAAACTTTGTTTGTTCCCTGGCAAGCTCACATGGTGGGGAGGACACAAAAACTTAGAGCATCTCAATCCCAGCCTTTGGAAGAAGTCTAAACATAGGCATAACTTGCCCTTTTCTTTGCAGAGTTAGCTAAGAAATGCAAACAGCCCTAAGACGGCTCCTGGTGATGTCAAGGATGTCCTTGGTGGTGTCACTGCAAACTGCAGGTTATTCCCTGTCTCTCCAGGTGAGGCAGCTGATGAGGGGACTGTGAACAGCATGTGGCCCTTCTAAAAGAAAAGGCTCTGACAGCCGAGTCCTCAAACCAAGGCACAAGAACCCTTCCCACCGGTACATAAGAGTTGAAATGGTGGTGAGTGGCACCTCTGAAGGGTCGCGAGATGCCTATGGTATAGATACTCCTCCTGCAAGCACCCTTCACGTTGATTTTGATTCCTCCTGGCACAACAATGATCACTCAGTGCCTTTGTCTTCATCCCCTGGTTTTGCTACCTGTGCATCAGATCCTTGGTCCCTCAACTGAGCCATTTTTGTTGGTGTTCCCCTGATTAAGAACTACTTACCAGGCTAGAGCCAGCTAGATGGGTGGCTGTGGCTTTCTGATGGAGGGCAGACGTGCACGGGATGGCTCCCTGCGACAGTCTCACTCGGGAGCAATCCTGCTACCTGGACGCAGAGCCTCGGCTGGCTGTCACCACGGCTGGCTGTCACCACAGCCTTCCGTCACTCCTACAGTGACCGCCGCTCCAGCTCCTGCTCCCTGAGAAGGGCAATCACGAGCCCTACTTGGAACAGCAAACAAAGACATCGCATGCAATAGATTTTAACTCATTTAAATTAAAGAAAAAAAAAAAAAGCACAACTACTTACGTAACCAAGCTTTATTTAGAACCTTTGAAATCATAAAATGTCTCATTTTACTGATATACGTAAACATACAATCAGGAGGTTTAATTGCTTCTTCCCTTGCACAGAAATAAAGTTTTAAACAAACCAGAACACCTCAACCCAGACAAGCGTAATGCAAATTTAATTATCTAACTTGGTCCTGTACATACAGCACACGCTTCTCCGCATGGGCACTGGTTTATCAATTAGTTGCAATATAATTTTTGGCAGTAATATATTCAACACACAAAGTGCAAATTACAAGAAGCAGAAAATGTTCTCTCTCATTCTGAGCAATGAGAAGTGCAAAATATTTCAGCCCATAAATTCTATTCTTTATGTATATGAACAGTATGTGCATAATAGGCTAATAAACAGCCGTGTAAAACTTCATAGATTAAATGTGGCAACATCTTAAACTAGGAATGCAACCGTTATAAAAACATAATCAGACAGAGGAATCGTTACATTTTGTGATAAATTCCATACGCTATTTCTAAGGGTACCTCTTCACATTTCACTTACCCGCCTTTAACTTCTGCATACCTTGGATGCTTTTGCAACCAAAGGCAGTTTGTTAAAAACTCTCTGATTTGCTACATCTGGACATATTTCTGTGTGTCTACAATCAAGGTTCCACTAACACTTCACTTGGCAAATCAAATAGTACAGTGGGAATCCACTGAAAATGTGAAGTCTCTTCCAGGCACTATTAAGGGAATACCCACTAATGGTTCCAGCAGGCTAAATGCACTTTGTGATTACCTAAAGTCAAAGAAAACTTTTCAATGAAATAAGGAAAACCGTTTCAATGAGAGCTAATCACAGCTCGCTTGTTTCAGTGTAGTTCATCTCGCTTCAGTACCTGTTCTTTCATGTAAAATGGGGAAATACCCGCTCTAGCTAAAACATGCTCAACCACAGTACCTTTAACACAAACTCTGCACTACTGCGTTATTATACTGCAGATTTTGAATCTCCTTCCCATTTAATTCCAGGGATTTTTCACACAAAATGAGCAGCCAATTTTGACCTCCTTTCACTTCTCCCAGCTACATCATCATTATAAATTATACCAAATAGTCCAAATCAGACTGGGCTGCTTCCTCTAAAACCCTACTGTTCCTCTGGATAGGAAGATTAAACCACAATGACTGGCATTGCCATTAATCTGCCTGCCAAATTCATTTGCCAAATCACTAAGGCCATGGTCATATAATCACTGCAGGAATGGCTGTGACACGTAACAAAGTTGCTAACTCTTGGCTGAACGTTCCTGCATCCCACCTCCACTGTGCAGGCTTTGGGAAGGCTCCTCGTGGGCTTCAGCACACGCTTGTCTGGCTTGGCTTAAACCAAAAAAATAGTCGGCGGCTTCGACTGAGCTGTCCGACTTGCCGGAGGAGGCTGAGGAACCCCATTCTGCATGCTCTGCCCTGGGAAGACATCATCTTAAACTGCTGCAGCAGTCTTCTGCGGCGATCATCTCACCATTGCCTGGCACTATTTGGTATTATCCAAAATTGAACTCCAGCAGCCCCAAGACAGAAGCATCCTCTGATCCGTGAAAGCCTCTTCCTGCACTATCTGATCCTGGGGAGACTCTTGGAAATGTAAAACGGTTTGCTGGTTTGGATTAACTTCATCTAGCCTTAAAGATAACGTGCAGAGGGATGGCTCACCATCATTACTAGAATTAGAGGATCACATTGCCGAAGCAAACTTTTTGTCTTCATTAAAGTTTCAGGATGAACAATCATGCTGCAACTTGGCACAACAACAACTGCCTTTGTACGCAACATGCCTGGTATATATCAGCACATTTCTTCTTCTTTAAAAATATAATTAGAATAGAACGAGATACGTCGTTGTTTTTCATGCTGTCTAAATATCTGAAAAGGCTCAAACATTTTAAAAGCCTAAAAAAAAAATAAATTTCCCTCTCCCCTAGTTTATTTTTCATGCTAAAGGCTGCAAATTGACACATCACAGTAATTACCTCTGACTAACTTCCATAGACCTACCCAAAGAGATAAACATGAGAAGTTCACATTTGACTATCAGACTTACTGTGCCGAGCACAAATAATTTCCCAGAGGAGAATTTGATATTTCATCATTTGGAACAGTGGTAATTTAATTACATTGCTAATGTTTTCTGGCATACTTGAAAGGACAATTAGCATAAGTAAATCACGAGTGAGATGACAAGTCACTCGGCATTTATTTCTGCTCATCAGATGAGATCAGTTGATGATCTAAATTCTCTTTTGTGTGCGAGCTGATTCCATTTGTAACTGGGGTTCAGACTAGCAGGGAGAAACCGATGTATAAATAAAGTAAAATGGATATTGTTCTTTGAAGTTTCTTAATTAAACTTGTCCAGAGAAACCTCAAAAGCCACCAGAAGTAGGGGAGGGTGGGGAGAAAGGCTGATAAATGTGGAAGGCTAAATGAAGCTCGAGACACACACTACCCTTTCTGGCAACAGGGTGAATACTGATTCATTTTTGCCAGCGTTTGCTTTACATCCTGCTCAGGGCTGAACAGTATTATTATAGCTCTACTGATGTTCTAAAATAATTGTATTTATCTCCGCAAGCAATGACATTCATGATAACACCGTTAATGTTACAGTTCCTTTCTGGCGCTTCAGAATAGCTACAGCTTGCTCATGAGTAACACCTTCCAAAGCTTCCCCATTAACTGCTAAAATCTGATCGCCACGCTTCAGTCTGCCATCATCCGCAGCTGCTCCCTGCAAACGGCAAAGTGAGTCATTAGCGGCTGGTACCACAGAGCCCTCCCATCTCTCATAATGCTGATGGATGAAATGCGGAGGGATGTAGCACTGGAAACCCACCGTAACTGGGTGGGGAACATGGCAAATGACAGTGCTGAAGTCTCCCTGAGTGCTTCAACCATTGCCCATCGCTCACCATGCTTACCCACCCCTGCAAGGTCTGGGGCAGGGTGGGCGGGTGATATACCCCTGGGAAGAAGAGAATTGGCTCATCCCTGAAAAAACTGCAGTGTAAAGACTGGTTCTGGCTTTTATGATTACGGAGAGGCCTGTCAAAGCAGCATTTAAATGTACTCCACACCCAGTGCTGAGAAATGGGTTAAAATGTGGGGAGGAAGAGGGACGCAGAGCTCATGCAGCCAAACAGCCTGGGCACTGCCCCAAGTCCGGGCCAGAGCTAGGCTCTGCTGAATGTCCTGAGAAGCTCCCACGGAGCTTTAGAAATGGCTGTTCTCCTCCAGAGGCCTCAGTGCAGCTCTTTTCTCGAAATCCTAAGCCCTGCCCTGCCTAGAGGTCAGCTCATGGTGTCTGTTTCTGCTCCATGGCCCCACCAGTGACTCCAGTATATTCTAGCTTCGATCTACCGTTTCTCAGCTGTGCTCACATCTAGAAACTTGTAAATCTAAGCATCAGTTTAAAGACACAGTATCTTCCCATGTTAATAATTGAAAATTGTAAAAAGACCAGATACTTGTGGTTTGAGCCCTGGAATCGCAGAAGCAGAGGAGATATAACTTCTACTCCATCTTCAGACAAAGTTTTATTAATTATGTCATCTACCCTGCCAGAAGTGCTGACACAAGTGACAGCAAGTAGGCACAGGACAAGCAACTGTGTGTGACTGACTTTGAAGTTACTTTATGGAAAGTATCCCTAATTCCCACTGTTTCCCTTTCCTACTCCCCATTTCCAGAACCTCCTTCACATGGCCATGCCTGACTTATCTTGCTGGCCCAGGTTGAGCATGTTTCTAGCAAGGGGATGGGTGGGAAAAGGGACATTTCTCCCTCCACACCAGTGGCCATTCTGGGGCTGCCTGCCTTGAGGCTGCGCTGGGCTGTACTATGTTTCTTCCCCAGCCTCGTGGGCCAGAGCCACTGCTGTACCTGGCTGGGACCCCCAAGTCCTCCCCTGACACTCAGGGTTGGGGTCAGAGATGGCCGCGCCGTGATCATCTCCAGCACGTGGGAGTGGAGTACACAGAGAGAGGCATGAGAGAGAGGCTGGAAGCAATGGAGAATAACTAAAGCCAGGACCGATGTGTAAGCCAAGTCATCATCAAGCCACAAGGTAGGGCGTTTTCGTCTTTCGGTGTTTTTTCTCATTGAGGTGACTAACTGAGCACAGGAGTTTATTCCTGGTTTTGCAGCTGAAGCTCAGCCACAAAGATACAGCATCTCTGCAACTGTCTCCTCTCCTGTACAGTGGGAAAAGCGATGCCTCCATACCTCTTGGAAGGATCTTTGAGATTTACAGAGAGAAACCTGCCTTATAAATATTTTAATGTATAAAAACAAGTTTCCCAAGTACACAGAGCAATTTTGCTGAGATAAAGTATCTTTTTTCAGCCATCAGTAGTATGAAATATAAACTGAGAAGCCAGCTGTGAGTTCTGGGTCGACTGACTCACATTAACGTACTTAGACAGCACGTTTTGCTTTCTACTACATAATATATTTTCCAAACCAAATCTTAGATTTATTTTTAAAGATAATACAGAAAAAGGGAGAAAACAACAAAAGAGATACCTTGGCAAATATAGTCTTGACATAAATGGGCAGGTCTCCATGGGGACTTCCATACCCCCCTACAATACTAAATCCCAGTCCATCAGAGCCTTTCTCCAAAGTAATAATCTTAGGCTGAGGTGCTCTGAAAACACAATAAATATCACTTAGAATAGCAATGCCTGTCTCTGGGGACTTGATGCAGATGGAACACTTACAGAGATATTTATCTATCAAGAAGTTTTTCATACAGTCACAAACCATGACTCTTGTACTTGCACTGAAATACACTCCTGCACAGCCCGGAGTTCAACCACTGTTCCATGTACTTCAGCTCCTCACTTTGAAAATACTTATTTTTAATAAGAACTCAACAAGAGCACTTATCTCTGATACAGAAGTGAGACTCTCCTCATCTGCAGTCGCTGCACGTACGTAAAGGAGAGTTTGCTTTCTTACTGGCCACGCTGTCATCCTTAGTCTGCATAAGTGGCAATTGCAACAATTACCTTACAGCATAATTTTATTTTATGACTTCAGAAGAATAAGTCTAATAGACAGGTTGCAGCCAGGAACACTTGCGTTTATAGTCTCAGTTCTACTGCAGGCTCTTTGGGCTGTTTTCTAACCACCTATATTTGACCTACACCCCTGCGCCTTGTAACCCCAGAGAGCCCCTCACCCAGTGCATCGCTTAGAGCCTGAACTCTCTTCAGGGGCTTTTCCCGTCTACATTGAGCAGAGGAAGATTTTTGGTGGAATTTAGACCACTCATATGTATATATCCATCTCAAATTTGAAAAAGTAATTTCTACATATTTAGAAAGAAATATTGTAAACAAAAGCTGTTTGACATCTTCCACCTATATAAATAAAGGTGTAGCCTATGCTGACTAATATCTAGCCATTTCTTTAGGACAGAATGAATGCCCACACCTACTTAACTCTGCTTCATATTTTCACATTCAAATTTCCTTACTATTTTGATATGAAAAGACAATACAAATCCTTTTGTGAAGTAACCTGTTCTCCTTTGAGAGCAGCAATAAAAACAGTATCTTACATTGTAAGACTAGAGAATGCAGCATAAATAGCTTAACTTGTATACTCAAAAAGCCCTGAGGTAGAGTAGCAACTTGCATCTCAGCTTCTTAAAATAAATATAATGAATCAAAGAAAGAAAATGAAGAACATAATGAAGCTAATGAACCAAAACAAAGATCAAATGAATTTCAAAATGATAACTGGAATGCTATAAGTTGCCCTAAAAAGCACACAATGGAGAATGATGCATGGCCATGAGACGGCTAGATCTCTAACTTCCATCACCACACAGAAGTGCTGTAAGTAGAAAATTTTTCAATCAGACTTTTCAAATTGTAAAGCTAAAAATATTCAAAAGACAAAGAAAATTCTGGGACATGTTTTGAAACATTTGTCTCTGATACTAGGCTTTTTAACACCTCTTGCCTTAGTCTGCCAATGACAATTTATTTCAAATTGCTACAATCATAACTCCTTTCAGGCAAGGAAGCCAACAGACAAGGGCAGAATCATCATGCCAGCATAACACATTAGAAAAGAAAGGAGATAAATTTTTTTGAAAAATGTCCAGAACTAGTACTCAGAAACACATTTTGTGCTTATTTACTCAAGCAATTTCTGCCATCAGGTGAAGATGGACACGAGTCCGTAATCTGCTTGGAGAAGGTCACAGTTTTCACTTTAAAGGCGATGGAAAATTAGAGAGAAAAGCAATGGGAAAGACCTCCTTCACCACACTAGGCTTTTCCCTTGCATGGTGCATAGAAATCCACCTCACTTACGCAGACTAAGTACAAACTTACTCGGGATCTTCAGAAGGATGCTCAGAAGAAGAGTTAAGGTTGCATCCCGCAGACATGCTCTCCAGCTGGGTAGCAATGGCACTGATGTTGGTATCAGCCACAACCTGAACAGAAGGATGCAATGAAATATTATGTGTGGTCACATAATACCAAAGACACTTGGCTAATTATGCAGCAAATAGCTGATACACTAGGAAAATCAGTTTTTGATGTTTTTTTTCAAACAAATTTCAAATACAAGTCCTACTCTCTTAAATGTCCTACTAATTCAATAGTCTCACATAAGAGAGCTGCTAGTAGCCACCTTTCTGGGGGTTAAATGAAAACTTTGCTCTGAAGTTTTCTCTTGCTTTTACATGGCTATCATTCAGATGCTGAGCAGAGGGGAACAGTCTTTTGGGATAAACCTGAGAAAGCGGTTACTTTGTCAAGGAAATAGGTACATCTCAGAGTCAACACAAGGTGTCCAGGATTGGGCTTGAAAGTAAAGGTCTCCCAGAGAGAGCACCTTAGCCTTTAACGAAATACAGAGATCCAAGGGACTATGGGGCAAAGGCCCTGAAATACCTCAGATTGGTTTGTTTGCTGAGTGGGGAAGAAATTAATCCCTAGTTTCAACTTCTCCGCAATTTCCAGCATGAATCTAACAAACCGCATTCTTAAATTTCCTAAGCCTGCCTGCCGTATTATTCTGAAACCATCATGAATTACCACCACACAGGAATTAATAGTTAATGACATTTTGACTGGTGGTGGGGCAGCAAACATGCTCAGGCTTTTTAAACCAACCATATCAATGTTGTACAGGTTAGTTACAAATACGACTATAGCTGTGTTGAGAGAACAGTTACTTGCACGCTGAGGTCTGGGCTTTGCCGTTCACAGAGGTTTAGGCTCATAAGGATAAAAGCTTGCAGCTTGCAGGCCCAGTAGGATTTATTAAACACAAAGTGTCAATACCCACTCTAGCTTTTTTTTTTTAACATTTCATTGCATGCTGATTTTCTATTATTTGCTTTTTTCTGGAAAAAAATTGAGGAAACTGCTATGAAGTGGTTTGGATTTTAAGTATTCACAGCTGAAAGGGCATCAGTCCCCTAACAACTACATGCTGTGGTTATTCCCTAACTCCATCTCCTTGTGATGAGATATTCTTCTCTGCTTGATGTTCACTGTACATCGCAGGAGTTCAGCTCAGAGACAGTGAGAAATACCCAGCAAGTATATTTTCAGTATTTCCTCTAGCTATCCATGGCTTTATTTTATCAAAATTAACAGGTACTTTTTCCACTCCTTGCTGTGAACATGGCTTAAGGGAAACGTACCTTTTAGAAATAAAAAATCCATTATTTAAATCCCCCGTTTTAAATGAATGCTCACAATTCTTCCACAACAATATTTCCCTCTTTCTAATCACTTGGAGCCAAGAGGGTGGTAGCATTTTCTAGGAAGGAAGATTAGTTCTCATGCAAATTTGGCATCCCAGGACTCAGGTTCTTGGATGCCCTAAATGAAGGGGTCCAGCAGACGACAGCTGCACCTGGCTCACCCAGCAAAGACACCATTAAGTTTTCCTTCCCGTTGCAGTAGGAGAAAGGGTGCCAGCCAGTATTTGTCGTATTTTGTTGTTAAATAAAATGAGGGCAAAGTAAATCTATATTCAAAAATCTTCAGTTGGCAGTAAGAACGTATCAGAGTTCAACAACCTTGTAAAAAAGCTTCCCCTTATCTCATTACTACACCTGCAGAAAAGAAATTAAATTAAACCAAAGCATCAAAACAGCCGAAAGGGATGATTGTTCCCCTGAGACCTTAATCTCCCATTTGCAAACAGCATTTGCAAACTCCTTTACCATCCTTCCCAGGACATACTGATAATAAGCCTTTCCACACCACTGAACGCAATTATCTGACCTTTCAAAGCAGTTTGCCATGAAGTGGTCTAACCTGATAATAAACAGAATTACTTAATGACACATCAGTCACGATTATCACAGCGATAGGATTATTCCATTTAGATTGTTTTAATAATAATAAAAAAAAACAATCCAGTGCTTGAGAAGTACCTGTGGTTAGCACGTAAGGTAATCGTATCACCGTGCTTACGGCAGGGCTTCGACACTACTCCCTGCTGATATTAAAATATAACATCCCACCTTCACACAACAGATTTTTAACAGCGGAAAATAGACTCTATTCTATCAGAATAAACCTGCATCATCTGGAAAAAGTATTAAGCCCATTTTAAGCTAGACAGCAAAAATGTGGAAGAAAAACCATCAAGTGACAAACCCAAAGACATTTCTAGAAGAACCTCTTTGTTTATGTGAGCGAACAACTGACAGCGTGCTTCATCAGGAATATTTTTAAATACATGATGAGGTGGAATACGCTGTATTACAGCTTTCAAGATTAGCAATTTTGGGTTCTGCAGCAAGCTTTCATTTTCTATTCAGGGAATACTGTTGACATGAAAAGTGAAATTACTCAACGTTAGTAACAATATGAGAACTATAATTTAACGGAAAATCCTCAGCTGGTGTATATCTGTGTATTTCCTTTGACTTCCACGGAACTACACAAATACACCATCTGCTCTGGAACTGGCTCATCACTTACCAGGTCAGCAGTTCATGGACAGAGAAAATGAAGAATAAGCAAGTTTAAAACTAAGTTTATCATCATTTCATTTTTCCTTTTTTTTTCTTTTTTCCCCCTCATTTTTTATAGGCACACTTGTGTTGTAATGCAAGCAAGAAGCTTGCAAAAATCTCTCAAGATATGTTCCAATCCAATATGCTGTGATGATAAAGAAAATTAGAATAGATTTTAGTGGTAGTACTTAAGCTTGTTTTCCAATTGTTACAATAATTCTGCAAAGGAGTAGTATTTTGAATTCTCTCTAGCAAGCATTTTTCCCATTTCTTTGTGTAAACATAAGAATAAACTAAAGATGAATATACTGGCAAGCAGCAATTAGAACCAAAGTGGCAGAACACGTCTTCCTTTTAGCTAGGATATAAATGCGGTAGCGATAACACTGTTTTCTCTCTCAAGTGTTACTATTCACTACCTGTAGAATAATCAGTTCTAGGCAGCACTGTCTTAATGATGATGCTATCATTTTTACTAAATGCTACTAGCATTTCTTTCTTCTCCTTTCAAGGAACAAGGAAATTAACACTGTGGGCATTTTGGTCACAGACTAGTTACATGCATGCACACATACACACACATGTAATTTCTTGTTCCTAGCTAACTTCAAATTAATAAAAAAAACTTGGAAGCTTGTTGATTTATCATGTGTAGCAACAAGTTATTTTGTTCTCTTTGTTATGCTTTTATATAGTCATGCTCACAGCCTGTATGAATGGCAATAAAGAATTTTTGAATGAAAATTATTTCTTGCTTTCATTCTGTGTAATTCCCATCAGCAAGCACCCTGCACTTCTGTGATGCCTTGTGCCAGTGATGCTTAGAGTTTTTTTTTTTTTCCTGAATGCCATTTATCTACCCTCATGCAGCTGCATGTTCAATTTATCACCATACCTGCAGGATAATGCTCCCATAAGCATTCTTTAGTAGATTAACCGCATCTGCATGAGACAGCCCATCCAAAGGTTGCCCATTAATACTGACAATCCGATCTCCAACCTAAAAGTACAACAGTAATGGAAAATTACTAGCATTAGGGAAAATTAAAATTAAGAATGCTTAAAATTCCTCGTGAACTTGGCACTGCACAGTCATGCTTCTCTTTTGCAGGATCCCTTTTGTTAGAATTCTGCATTGCTAGTGATCATTTACCATTCTTCAGAGCTAGTACAATATGGATTTTTTTTAAAAAAACACTGCGATCAGAGAAACAAAGATGGGTTGTATTTTGTTATTTCCAATTGAAAGCAGAGAGAGTGAGATTTTCACTGCTGTCCTCCCACCCAGAAAGGACTCATTTGTGTCCATCAGTGCAGACAAGTTCATATTCTTACAGACTATGTATGCACATGCTGAATGCAGTCTAGGAAAGCAGGCACTTCTGATATTAATCTAATTCACCTAGATGATTCCTTCTTCTTATACATAAAAATGATCTTGACCCTGGCACTTAGTGCTATTGTGCAATTTTGTTAGAGATATGGCATGAATGTAGCAGCATGTACTGATGAATCTTACGGGCCAATGCAATCCTGTGTATCTGCATAATAACTTCTTTTCAATACTAATGATTCCTTGAAATTTTCTCTAAAACTGAAAGTGTTCCCCACAGTCATTCCTGGAAACCCACATATCCTGTGAATCTGATAAAAGTGTCTTATTTTGACATTTCTTTATAAGGGCCTTAAGATCAAACAATTAACTTCCAAGCTGGTTTCTGTCTGGTTTGAGCTCTAAATGACGCCCAGTCTGCAGTCCACAAAAGACCTGTGGTTTCCAGAGAGCCTACTGGGTCTGGAGGAATGTATACATTGAAAGACCACTGCAAATGCATTTCTGTTCTTTCTCTTAACGTCATTTTTCCAATGTGGGGAACAATTGTCATTATCCCAAGATGCAAGATAATTATAAAGGGAAGAGAAAGGCAGGTTTGTTTTTCTGGTTGTTGTTTGTTTGTTTGTTTTGCTTTTATATAAAAAAAGGCATAGTAGTCTATGAGACATTATCAAAGTGACGGCATATAAAGAAGTGTTTGGGGCTCCTCCTCTGTGGGACACATGGCAGATGGAGTAGGAAACACTGAGAGGATCCCTCTACTCACTCTGAGTCTTTGGGTACGTGCAGCCACACCACTGGCTTGAATCATGGCAATGAAGATGGGAATATCTCCTAATGGACTTCCCTTCCCTCCTGCTATACTGATACCAAGTGCATCATTTGGTCCCTAAAACAAAGCAAAAGAAAACAGCATTTGCAATTGGAGCAACTTGCAGAGGTCAATGTTCAGGGTATAGCAATAACTGACTCATTTGATTTATCGAACAGGGAGAAAATAGAGAGGTTTGACAGACATGCCCATCCTCACACATGCAGGTCTTATTACACAGGCATACATCCAACAACCCATTGCAAACAAATAATGCAATTTTACTTCTGAGAAATGCTACAAAAATTAACAACTTCAGTTAAAGGTGTCAGCTTTTTGAATTGATAGAAAATAACTCACTGACCCTTGTTATCTCCACAGTCCTTGGGCCCATATCTGCTCCTACTAATAAAGAAACAAACAATTAGCTTCTGTAATTAAGAGATAATATAATTAAGAGATAACACTGTCAGGTGACAATGCTCCCTGGCTGCCTAGTCAAGAGTTATCACTAAGCAGAAGTGGAGCCTTCCTGTGCCAAACCAGGCAGCGCTGCTCACGTGAGGAGGACGGGATTTCTGTTTCACCCAGAGATGAATACGGATGTAATCACTCTGGCTGACAGATGCCACCGTGACGCCCATTGTAGCGCAGCCGCTGCTTACCGCAATCTATTGAATAGCAGCACTCTGCCGGCCTGAAGAAAAGCCCTATTGTGCATTTCACTCAATTAAAGATTAGCTTATTATTCATAAATCACAGTGTCCCTACCACAAAGGGTAGGGGACATAGCTGGTCTGAGGCTGTTGAGGTTCCATTGATTTCCTCTTCTAATTTGTGCTGTATTAGTAAATAATAGATAGCCAGGAAGTCTGGCTGGCATACATCTAGCCATAGGACATTTAAAAGTACTCAAAATATTAAAAAGAAAAAAAAGAGAAAAAAAGGGACACTTCAAAGGAATCATTCAAACTGGGACTAAACAGCCTAACTAGCTGGTGTAGTCAGGTCCTGGGCTCTGTTATACCAACCCCTAATTCTATCATCTTTAACTAAACTATTTTAAGAATCAGAATTAGTCTTTTCCAAAAGTTAATGATTTTTAATAAGACATATCAGTATTTCTCATTGCCATGCACATGTGCTTGTGCAGATATCTGCTATGAGTACAGAAGGCAGGACTGCCGAGGTGCTGCGAGGTGTGCGGCAGCGGGAAGCCCAGCCCCAGGGATGCTGAATCAGGGCGTGCAGATGTGCACTCTCAGTGCTGCAGGGCCCTTCAAAATGGCACAAGGAAGGCTGCCTAAAAAGCCACATGCCTCCCCCAGTGCATGCAAACTGGCAGAAGAAACGTCTTCTACTTCTGCCCATGGTCCGACGTGAGCAAAGGTTACCAACTTGTGATGCAGGTCAGAGAACACAAATACTCAGGCTCTCCACAATCTACTGCAGGTTGTAGATTTAGCACTTGCTAAATCTGCAAATTGCAAACTGGGCATTGTGACTTTCTCATTACAAAACACCCCTTTATACACTCAAGAGCAACAAAGATACAAATGAAGTGGTGGCAGCTTTATTCCCTGAGAAAACTGTTTCTAATGTGAGAACCTTGCCTGTGCTAAGCCTCTGACAAGGACGTCGGGGAATAGCAGGGCACAAGAATTGTGCATTTAAAATAGAGCAGCCATTACTCTACAAGCAGACATAAAAATAATGTCATCTGCTGGAAAGTGTTTGGGTCTTAAAACATCAGTGGTATGTCTTCTGGGAGGCTGAGCAGGAAAACCAGATTTAAGTATTCAGTTTTGCTTTTAAACCAGCACAAACATAAAGCAAGTAACATGCAGCTATTCTGACAGTTGCCCAGATTATACCTGAGTTTCTCTGAGACACATCTGCTGAAGATCTTTTAGTGCTGACAAAATTCTGTAAGGTAGAGAGGACTGGAGCAAGCGCAGGGTGGAAGTGGCTATGGACACTCTGTTGGCTCACCTGAAGTTAAAAATAAATCAAAATCTGTGAGTCAAACTCAAACGTCAACTTTAAACCAGTTCCTGCAACATACGGGCGCAGCTGTGCTCTGTGCCAAACAGCCTGGAAATACCACATCAGCCACGCAAGTGCAAACCTCTCCAACTTAATTTCCAAAGAGGGAACCTACCAAAATCTGTCCCCGTGTTGTGGGCACACCCGTAGCACTGCTCACAGTACTACACAACTGCACTTCACTCCCTTACGTGCACACCTCATGCGTACATTGTTCAGGTCTGCTCCAGAGGCCATAAGGAAGTAGGATTAACCTCCTCCTTTGCTCATTCCCAGTGTGTCTCTGAACCTGAGGAGAAGGGGAGATGATGGCTGCTGCTAAAGCTTGTGGGCATCTTCCCCACGACGCACCCCGCAGGCACCTCACCCTACGACGAGCGGGCATGAGGCACATAACAGCTCCTCTCACACAAGGTGGGGATAACATGGACATCCATCTTGTTAAAGCCTGTAGATGACTGGCATGTGTTATTTTAGCTGAATACATTGTCTGACTACAAGGTCCTGTAACTGACCCTGCCCCTTTCATTTGACCAAGAACCTACTCTTATTTCCAGAATAATATGCCAGGTGACAAAAGGGAGAGTCTCCAAAGATAGCTGCTCGTCCATGTTACCAATTCTTGGCCATCCGTTTCCAGCACTCCTTTTCCCTATCTCCATATCTGGCTTTATCTCCAGACTCTGCCCCTCGATGAAACATCATTATCAATTTAGGACGTGCGTCTGAACAACAGGTTTCATCGAGGGCCAGACCTTTTTAACTAAGCTGCCTTATACAAAACAAAGATGTGGTCTATACTTCCCTGTCCGTGGCAGAGTTTTTTCCCCTCTGAATGCATTAGGCGGTGAATCAAAAGCTCTGGCAGCATTTATCCTAACTGACCAGTGTGCAGCTGTCAGTGACGAACAACAGGCAGAGCACGATTTCCACCTCCAGTTGCCAATTCATGGGTCAGTCAACATAATTTGCAATGCGCATGAAAGAAATCACTGTCCTGCACCACAAGGCTTATATTTCTACCGTTAAAGGTATGCAACGGACCAAGAAAAAAGCCAAGTGAGGACAAAAGTTCTGGATGCTCTTGGCCAGCAGCTTCTAAAACATCACTCGCAGTTGTGCAAATCATTCAAGCTGATTTGCTGTATTATCTGCCAAGATTTTTATAACTCTTGGAACGATTTTGCTGAGAAACATTTATTCAGTTTTCAAAATCACCAAGTCACTTAGAAGCAGTGAGATGAAGGCTCTCAAATGACTCTGCATTAAGAACAGCAATTAAGATTTCTTGTATTAAAAGAAATACAGAAATTACCAGGTTCCTGCAAAAGCCTCTTATGCTACAAAGAAAGGGGGATGACATTGTTTAATCTGATTTTTCTACCTAGACTCATGTTAGATACTATGGCATTTTGCTTCCCTTTCAGCTATAAGTTTTACATAGTAAAACTGAGTTGATAATTTTTAACTGTCACTTTTTGATTACATTGCTCTTGCTTCAGCTAGCTGTTGATACGATGACCAAAAAAATGTAATACTCAAGAGTGCTGTCTTTACGTAGTGCACTCAGTATATTTTTCCCCTGTTTCATTTCTCCTTGCCTGCTGCATGCAGTGTAGATGTTTCTCCAATGATATTTAGTCATTATTTTTAAAGCTGGGCTTAGCCCAACTGTTCCTGCGTGGCTTTAGCCCTTCCTTATACCTCACCCTCCCAGACAGCATGCTAGATCACTGCTGCTCTTTAGAAAGTTAAGAAACCACGCCACACGACTATGATTTTGGCATCCTTCTGTTGTTCACACACGACATCAAGGACAAGCCTCCCCTCTTACTGACTTCCTTAAAAGCATACCTGCTTTAACTTCCATCCCCCCTAAGCCTCCTACGGCTCCTTATCTCCATTTCTAAAACCAAGCCCCTCTTTTAGCATTTGGGGAGGCCGGGCTGGATCCCACCGGTGTGCAGCCTCTCCTGCCTGCTCGCACAGCCGTGTGAGGGGAAGGTGTGCAGGTAATATCCCCGGGTCCCTGACAGCTGCCCCTGGGCAGAGAGGGGGCAAAATACTCCATAGCAATAGCACTGCTGTGAACCACAGCTTGTCTCTCTCGGAGACACTGCCAATTTAAATATAATGGCAAAGGAGTCAGTCTTCGGAAGGCAAATCCATTAAAAAAAGTTTTCTAAGTCATCTTGCCTTGTTTTTCTCCCTTGCAATACTTGGACTTTAATACTAATGGTATCAGTGTCTGAGCTGATTGCGGGGCGCAGGGAGAGGGGAAAAGCCCTGCACTGATTGAAAAATGAATTGTTGTCCTCGCTTCAGGTAAAAAGCAAGTGAAGCAGGAAATTGCTCTGTGTTTTCTTTGAGAGGAAAGCAGCTCTCATGTGGTTCTGCCATAAGATAGGCAAAGATACAGTTTAGTTTCATTAACTCATTTTGATTGACAAAACAGCTGTAGAAAATACATTCAGCATTTTTTGCATGTCTAAAAAAAATTTCTGGGCATCATCATTTGAGAAAGATATTACAAATTTTTGGTGAGTCTCAGGAAAACACTCCTTAAACAAAAAAATACATTAACCAGCTCTTCTACTTAATCAGCATTTCAGCATGACACTTATTTTGCAGTTCAGTACTGAAAATTATTATGATAAAATATTTTGTGGCCCACCCTCAGCAGTAAGTGTCTATGGAAAGACTGAGCCTCACATGCACGCCTGTGCACTGTTCCCATGCCTTGCCCTTCACAGCTCCATTTTATACCTATGAATTTGTCACTAACCTGACTGTTCTGGGATGTTTTCCGTGATGACAGCCATGATCCAGCTCGCAATCTCCCAAGCTCAAGATGCACTAGGCCTTGGGCACACTTGGAAAAAAAAAAACCAAAACACAATGTACAGCATTTAAGTATGATATTTCACATATGATATTTCATGCTCTCCTGGAGAGAATTATGTTTTTGTTCAGCACTACAACTCCATGAAGAAAACCACAAGGAATGCTCAAAACATTAACATTTGTATTTAGACGATACAAAAAATGCCCATCCCTGGATTTAGGTTTATCCTGAAGGTTTATCCTGGTTGCTGAAGTCAGTATGAATGTTCCTACTGGCAAACTATAGATGGCCAATTACTCAGTAAAAATAAACAAAAAGCCCCTAACTCTTTAACAGACGTTTGCCACAAACAATACTCATGAAAAACACTTCAGAGGAAAAACGCTGCAGTAAAGGGTGAAGTTAACACATATGGATTCAACTTAATACACCCTCATATCACCGATTTCCAGTTCTTAAATAGGTAAACTTTTGGCCAAGTATCAACCCTGAATGGAAAAAGCAAGGAAAGAATTAGCCTTTCCCTTCAAGAATGAGAGAAATCATATGCAGAAACACTAATGGTGATGGCAGGGAAAAAGCCCTTGTCTTCAGATGCAGTTTTGAATAGAAATGGGTCTACGGCATCGCTCCCACCCATCCTTTCATCCTTGGTACAGGCTGTTGGGACTGGGAGCCGTACAGAGGAGCTAACATGAGGCACTTGCAGCCAGGCCATCCCCTGCCCTCTCCCTCTGATTCAAGCCGCCACGTGCTTTTGAATGGAAAAAGGCAAATTCTCCCAGACCACAGAGTATAAAAATCACTCCTGTAAGATGGAAAGCTGTGCAGAAATGGATTTAAGCTGCCATTTTATAGCTGCAGGTCAGTACAGCAAAGCCAAAGGCATTTTATTTCAGTTCTCATCTGTATGGCTCTCAGGTTTCCAAATATTTTTCTAACATATGAAATACACAGTTGCATTTTCAAATAAATGCCTAAATACTACACATGTCTTTGTTTTCCCACTTCATATCATCTGACCTCTAGAAATACAGGGAGTAGTGATTTTAAATGAATGTCTCAAAGTTCTTTCAGCTGAAATTCCTGTCTTGTTAATCAGTTCGAGCTGTCCTGCGAAGGCGTAAATAGCACTTCAGCATAATTACCCTGTGTGGTGTCAGTAACTGCAATTCAGTATCTTAAAATGTATCATGTACTCACCTTAAGTATAGTGGCAACAGTCTCTTGTGAGGCATTTCTCATATCCTCTCCATTTACAGACAAAATCTGATCTCCTTGAATTAATCTTCCATCTAGGTCTGCAGCTCCTCCTTTAACAATGTCAGAGATAAACACTCCACTTCCATTTCTAACAATGCAAGAAGCATATGGCTAATTACACAATCCAATATTCTTTGGGAGACCAATTTAGATTACTTGCATTTAAGAGACATTAAAAGAAACCTGTGAGCAGAGGAAGAACTAGTTTTACACCTCATTCAACTGTTTGAGTGTAAAAAAAAATCTACGAGTTCTAAAACCAAGGCATGTTTTGCTATATTTAATGCTGTCTTTACCCTTGAACTGTTAGTTCTGACTGTATGATCCATAAAGACTCATGAAAAATACCACTTGTATGAATAAAAAGCTGAGGATCGGCCTAAGATGGAGTTAAACTATCTCCTGATGTGCCTGATATGAATTATGCAGCCTCAGATTTTTTTTTTTTTCTATATTCCCCTAAAGGTTCAGCTCAGTTTCTTTTCTAGAAGCCTGGAGGCCCCCAACAGAAGAACAGGGAGAAGTCTGCAGAAAAGACTTTTATAGTTTGCACATGAGTTATGCAGCAGAAAATCCAGCTTTGTGGCTGTCCGCTGGCAGCGAGGCTCACGAGAGCAGCAGGCCATGCAGACGAGGGGAATGTATTTATTTATCAGCTCCAGCCTCCTCGCAGGGGAGTCCCCTCCGAGAGGCCGCAGGTCCCTCTGTGCTGGCCCCAGCTCCCGAGGTTCGCTATGGTGGGAGCTGGTAGTGCCAGCTGCAATGCCAAGATTTGGTGTCTGGTGTCCTTCACCCCGAAGGACACAACACTTCACAACCTGAATTATACCTGGGTATCATTTAATCGACTTCAGAAATTGGGCTACCTCTAAGGTGCAAATCCCCACAAGCGAAGCACTTAGCAATAGTACAGAAAGTTTTGCACAGAAGCAAACGTGGGAGGGCTGGAGACTGCGATTACCATCTGTAGGGTAATTTACATAAGCTAAATTAATTACCCAACCCGCAATCTGCTCACAACACCTGGGTTAAACATCACCACTCTTGTGAAAAACTGCGGTGGAAACTTTACTGACCATACGCAGTCAGGATAATGACATGATGATTTGTAATTGAGAAAATAAATTTTTTTTGGCAATACAGAAGAGCAACCATATGACTCTCACACACCAACACTGAATGAGTGCTCGCCAGTGTCGTGCCGTAAATCTCCTCTAGCAATGAAAGATTAAATCTATCAGTGCTCTGGTTCGAAAGATCTAATAGTAATGGTTTAGATATATATCAGCAAAAAGTCACATTTTATTAAGCAGCTGCTACCTACCACCGTATCTCAGATTCTGCTCTGTACTCGCAGAACTGCTGTCTGCAGTGTTGTACAGTTGCTTTGATACTGCTCAGGATTTGGGTCTAACTCAGCCTCTTATCTTCCACTGACATTGGTCCTTTTGAACCCAAGTAGGAGCTACATCTAACTCACAAATCCATTTTCAAGGGCACATCCTGGTATTTGGAACTAGAAAGGTTTCTGCCCCCAATTTGAAATCAGGAAAGCCAGGGTTAGAGCCCCTGAACTCCGAAACACAGCTACGCTGAAGCCACCAGAACAGTGAGCTCCCAGTTCCACCTGTGCCCCCTTGCCCACACTCGCTCCAAGCATGACACCCGGTCCGTGCCCCATGCCCGGAGCTCTCCGGGGCAGCAGCAGCCGCCTTTACAGAACGCAGGTGTGTTGTTGTTCTGATACAGGAGCCAGGACCACAGCCCCATGGCATCCTGGAAGATATTTAGACACAAAATTCTGTTCCTTACCGAGTTTTTCCTTTATTTCATATTCCATTTAATGGCTACAGTTGTTCATATGGCAAAAAGCAAAATATTTCTCATTTGAAGTGCAGTCCAGTCACAGAGATGCTCTTACCGTTTTCCAGCTATGCTGAGCCCTAGTCCTCGACCCATTTTCTTTTGTATATCTACATAGAAAATCTCTAAGTTTTCTTCATCTTTGTAATGGGCTTCATCTCTATAAACAACCAACTGCACCTTCTGGGGCGTCTGTCTCAGGGCAGTGATAGCTTCTTCATGGCTGGCATTCCGCAGATCGATCCCGTTCACCTGAAATAATCAGTGTTTTCTTTCCAAATGACATGTATAAATGATCTTTTCATCACACCCTACCCCTGTGTGACAGGACAAATTTGTCAAATTGACACCCCTTGGCACTCTAATTTAGCGCTCCTGTTTCCAGAGGGCCGAGCTCCTGGATCTCCTACCCAGTGCGAGTTCAGTGCTTTGTGCCACTGCCTGGAGTAAATCACAATAATCAAAACGTTTTGGCTTGTAAATTTTGTGGGTGCTCTTCCCTTCTTTTTACATGCTGGAACCTCAAACAATGCTTCTTTCTTACAACTAGACAAAGTGAGGAGTGCTCCTTTGAGCTTCCTATATCTCTTACTGCTCAGACTCCTTCTCCCCCAGCTTCGCAACACCACCGAGCCGAAGACAGAAGGAATCAGAAACATTAGCAAATGGCAATTGCGAAGCCCAGGCAGGACATATTAAACGGTTATTTTGCTTTGTTCCAATAGATGGCACACAAGACCGCTGCTGGAGCACTCAATTACATTTCTCTTACAACAACCCAAAACTGCTTTAGCATTTTAGTAATATCAGAGAGAATAAGAAGTTCTGATTGAATGCTCAAGTATTAAAAAAACCCCAACTATTGCAACTTCAAACCTAATCTCCTAATCTTGCCAAGCTTGATCCACAGATACCCTTTAAGGTGTTTGCCAACATTCTGCTGACAAAATAATTTTTTTATTTCTTAATACCAAAAAATATCAACGCTTAAATATTTTTGAAGGCTCTTTAGGAAGCAGCATGAACTGTAACTGAATAACAATAGGTTGTTAATTCACTGACATAACATAGTAAGTTTTAAGGCAATGAAAGTATTTCTCAGTATTTCTAGATATGCAAAGTTATAATCATACTTAATTTTACATTAAGATAATTAAGTCTAATCCATAGCAATTACATTCTTTTGTACTAATTCTACACACATTTATTTATATACTCCATCGGTATTCCTTTCTCAACACAGGCATCTACGTGTGATTTATCATACTAATCTGAAACTAATTCAGAGTAATCTTTCTGATTCATTAGCACGGCTTTTAGAAGCTGAAATAATAACAATATTATGGCACACAAACATTAGCACTTTCCTGTCTGGCCAGAGAAGAATTAATTAACCTTCCCCATTTTTATCCCCTAATTATTGTGCTCTGTTAATACACAGTTATTTATAAAACAAAAACAACATTCAGACTTAACGCTAAAGAAAATATTTTCAGTGCAAGAGCTGTAAAGACAACTCCCCAAGTACCCCTTGCTATTTTTCTAACCCTACACACCAAAGCCTTAATGGCCATGCTGGGAATTTGTCCTGATCTGACAGCGAGAGGCTGCAAGCAGCTGCACTGAACCTCTGCCTGACGCAAGTTTCATTTGCAGACCAACACTTCTTTCTTAACCCTTTCCCTCCTCGATTTCCATGCTTGTCTGCGGGAAAACCACTACATTTACTCAGAGAAAGAATTCTGCGTGTTCACCAGTTTTATGACCCGTGGCCTGAAGGAGCCGGTAGCTCCCCCAGCACCGCCGCAGGCAGGCAGTGTGAGTTTTTCAGCAGGGATGCTCGCAGCGATGCTGCAGCCACCCTCGCCTTCTCGCCCCACGTTCGTCCAGCTCGGCACTTCGTTTGCAGGCAGCACAGAGATACCTGAGCAGCAGCGGTAGTGCAGGCCTCCAAATGAAAGATTAAACAGATGAATAATACTGAGCTATTGGACATGACAGCTGAACTATGTAATTCGAGAACTGCCTTGCTCAATTAAATTTAATATATTCTCAATTTGTACCTTCAGTGTATATGAATATATAAGGAAATACGAATTTGTCAGAATGTTCTTAGTGACAAAAAGAAGCTTCCAGTACAGATCCTGGTCAATGATTTCTCCTTCCCCTACAAGAAACCTACACGGCATTGAATACAAGTACACATGACAAAGATATAAGCAAGCACATACATAGACTCGTTTACCTCCAGAATCTGATCACCGGCCCAAAGCCTGCCATCTCGGGCTGCTGCCCCTTCTTCATAAACTTCATGGATCACTATGGCATCCTGCGGGAAGAAGGGGGTGGTGTGAATCCTCCCTCCCAAACACCCCGCAAACTGGCAGCCGCGACCCACCCCCCACACAGCCCACCGCTCCGCAGTAAGAAGGTACAGCACTCCGTGTCAGGATAAGCAAGACTGTAACACAGATTTATTGATTTTTTTAAAAACATTTTGGGATAAGAGAATTACTCCCCTAATCAAAATACAGATAGCCAGTAAAACTGTAAAAAGGATTTTGTTCACCACTTCAAGGTAGTCTTGTCTAGAGTTTCTTAGGCTTCCATCATTTTTATACATTGGCATCAGCAGTATGTGAACTCAGTGTGAACCGTTGTATTAATATCATCTACTTTTTATTATATTATTTAAAACCAGATTCTTTGGAGCTATGAATATTTTTAGGGACTTGGCATAGATCTCAGCTTTAAGCAAGAACTGAATGCCTTGTGGTAAATAGCGCTGGTTAAATCCGTAAGAAATGAAATCCAGAAGAAACGAACAATGGCAAATGTTAGTTTATTACTGAGGTTGGAAAATGTAGGCAGTGGCAGATGTAGCTTCAGGGAAGGTTTCAGTGATTTAATCTTACTGCCAGCAATAGATGTCCCCAAAGAAAAAGCACTACAAAGAACATACTGTTCTCTTGCTGGTGCTTTCCCTTTGTATTGTTCTGGTTTCCCTTTTTTTTTTTCCCCCCGAAACAAATAGGTGAACATCCTGCTACAGCGCTTCAGCTGCGGTCCTGACAGCTAGCAGGATGGGACACTTCACTGTGCAAAATGCGCTCCTCTCTCCAATGTCATCAACAGACACCAAGCCTCAGAGCAGAACCGGCTTCGCTACAAACTCTGAAATGGCTCTGGATAAATACGCGGTGATTTCCAATTAGATACGTAGGTATCGGATAACGCATTCTCAGACAAATATACCCTCCAAAAACGCTACGGTCGTGAAGTTCCTTCACCAGTTTGACGTACAAGTGAAAGAGGAGACTTTCCGCCGCGTTTGCAACAAAAGGCGGCGAGGTTAGCAGCGTGCGAGCCCCGCTGTGCACCGCCTTCCTGGAGCAGGAGCAGGAAATAGCTGCTGGGGTAGAACAAAGTACCTTCGTGTTTTGAAAACACTGTTAGATACCACATCTCTCATCACCAAGTTAACTCCCCCCATGTTGCCTCGCAATTCTTTCCCAGCACACATGGTGCATGTTGAACAGAAAGAAAACTCAAATGCCCTTAAGCTAATGCTCTGATCAAGACAACATTGAAAGCATTATTCTCTTTCATTCCCACTACACCTTATTTAATGACGGGGACTTGTATCTACAGCCGCTGCGCTGCTGCTGGAGCACAGCAGAACTGTCACAAGCTTCCTCTTTGATACATATACACCAGTCACTGAAAAAAGCCTGAAGGACTTTAATCACAAATGGATTACAGCTGATACAAGTGTCCCAAATGGGGGAAAAAAGATTTCAATCTACATAAATGAAGGCAAAATACTATGAGCTGTGTACCAAGGTAATTAAGAAAATCAAAAGAATGGTTTGATTAAAAAAAAAAATTATATATATACACACCACTGGCAACTGCAAGGTTTTCTTGAAATAACTGAAGGAGCTATTAGAGTGGAACAGAGTAACACGTACACGTCCATCTCAGCAGCGCTGCCGAAATCCTCTGCTACGTGTCTTAGATCTTCTCTCAGTCGTGGGGTTCTAGTTGTTGTGAGTTTTTGGTTGGTTGGTTTTGGTTTAGTTTTCTTTGGGGGGGTTACCTTTGTTTTAAAAATGATCTTGTAACTCTAAGTCAACACAAAATACTTTTGCCTGGGTGAAAGCCAGGAGGGTGACAGTGATGTATATTTTTTTCACCTGAGGCTGATCACGGGTAACTTTGAGAAAAAGCTGAGTCTGTGGTTTAGAACTTCCATAACACACTTCCCTTTTAGTTTTTAAAACACTTTACAAAGAAAGGCATTTAGAAGCGGCCAACCAGATAACACAAAATATCGACCAGCTTGTTAAGACAGCATCATTCAACTAGGACACACTAAGGCAGTAGATGAACACAAGGTTCGGTAGAAAAAATAGCAATGTGACCATGTAACAGCAGACTGGGCACATAGACAAGATGGTCAAACCAAACACTTTTAGACTGTATTTAATCTGATACTTGCTAACTTCTGAGCAAGGAGCTTTCAATCACATTTCTGTAAGTTTGTTTTCTATCTGCGGTTGCTTTAAAAATGGTCAACAATCTGGAGTTACCAGCCTTTCCCAGTACTGTACTACCTAAAGCTTAGCTCCAGGAACCATCAAATATTATCAGTTTCAATAATCTGCATCATCTATTTGAAAAGGCAACAATTCAGTATTACACTGCAGTTCCTGCATGTGTTAGAAGCCAGATCTAGAACTAAAAATACATATGGCATGAAAAGGTACATTCCTGTTCGGTTCATGCCTACCCCGAAGAAGGAAACATCTTGCTCATCTGCCAAAGCGCTGTTTTTCTTAATTATTCTTTTTTTAAAGTAGTGTAGTTGAATCAGGTTTATCAAATCTATTAAAAACAGAATGAAGCAACGTGTCCATGATGTACTGTAAAAATTTTTAAATAGTCCATAATATAAATATGAGAGTCTTACCTTCCTTAGCTTATACACTATGATAAAGAGACAACTTTTCCTCTGACACTTCTGGGATCAGCTCAAAGTACATTTAGCCCAGAAGTAGTCTTTTTTCCATTGGATCTAGTGGGATCTGGGTAAGACTCTGTTAGTTTTGATCATCCATGACAAATCACTAAAACCAAACTATTATGAGACATTTTTAATTGTATCAATATTTCAAAGAAGTTTATGCAGTAATGAGATGTAATGTCATACTCCAGCCATCTAACTAAGCCCTAATCTGTAATGATTCTATTGACATGCTACAGATTTAAGCTGTAACACCGCCTTAGAAAAAAACTAGGATCTTTTGTGACTAAAACAACAGACAGCATTTATTTAAAGGATAGGTTTTGGTTATTGGATGTCTGCAGCTTCTGCTCACCAGCTTCCAATTCAGTTGTGCACTTGATACCTCTAGAAGTCAAGACCTAAATTGTTCAAAATTAATCAGTTGAGAGGGAGGAAGGGAAAGTGGCGTTAATATTCAACTAGAGGTTGTGAATTCATGGGGGCTCTGGACAGATTTTCACTCCCATCCTTCCCCATCTCCTTTCACTGCCAGTTTCACGTAGATTATGGCACTCCATGATACAGCTTGGCAGAGTCACAGAAACTGTTTGTGCAGAAGGGGGAAATAAAACCACTCTCATATCAAGAACATGGTTGTTTAAAGAAAGATATCCAGCTGCTGAAAGCACATACTTCATAAGGTTTACAAATCCATTCAACAAACTGGAGCTTTAATCTCTGTATATTTTGACAAAGAATAGTCTGGGACCAGTATACAAATCAGGAATTAATGCAAAGTTGAACATTTCTTGTATAGGACGGAAGGATGCAGAATACAAGCCAGGGCATATAAACAGCATTCTTCTGTGCTAAACAAAGTCCACGCTCGCAGGTGTACACTTAGACTATCCAACACTGAAAGACAAAGTAGGAGGGAATTTGTCTGCTACTGCCAAGGTTGCTGTCCTGGGCTGAAAAATGCTTATATTGAAGGCTATTGAAGGGCCTGCAGTGCAACAAAATGAAGCTGAATGCTCTGATACTACCTATACTGCATGGCTAAAAAAATCACCTGCAAGCCAGAATGGTTCCCAAACATGGCAAGAGCATACCTGGTTCGTATACGATGTGCACCAAATCTGTTAACAAGTGGTAATGCTTACCAAACCTGCCATGCACTATATTAGACAGTGTTTTGTAAGGTTGAGATTTGAGCTGTGGGACAGCTACACCCCTCACTCTTGCTTTACCACCAGAATACCACTGTGATTGCACAGTCTTCTTGAGCAAAGGGAAGGCACATGAATGACAACTCTCATGCTGACACTGACGAACCGAGGGTTTGGCTGTGGAAGAAAAGGCAGACAAGTAGAAGAGTTCATGGGGCCTCTTGGTTGATACCTTGAAAACAACGTTGGCGCAGAGTGAATGACTACTGAATAGTGAGGATAAGAAAACCTTATGGAAATTAGCACCCAGTCTGAGAACCCAGCTATGGAAAACACAAGTTGTAAAATGTGCACAACGTGATCTACATTGCATTGCCTTCTATCTGAAGGAGGGGAACAGCCCTGAACTCTCGGGCAATCGGATCTCAACTCCCCCGCAAGCTGTGGATATTTTTTTCTGCTTGATTTATAACAACTTCAGAGCCCCGGTAGGGGAAGAATATCACACTCAACCATCAGCAGAGAGCACAAATAGAAATGCTAATGTTAAGGATTAAATTCAGTAAGAGTGACAGCTTAATCTTTGTATTTTAAATGTCAAGAACTGGTATGGCAGAGACCTCAGGCAATGACCACATAGCACCGTCTAGATTGAGCCTTTGGGAGAAAGGTGGTAAAGTCAGCTTCCTATTCAGAAAAATCATTGGCCAAGTGAACCTTAAAAGCCTGCAGGACTGTAAACAGTGGTGAGAAAGTCTCACAAGCTGTCTGGCTTTAGGCTAGGACTGCTCACATGTTTTCTGCAAGTTTATAGCTTCTGAGCCAGTCTCTCTAGTGTTTCTTTTCTTCTCTGCAGCTGTTCTTCAGAAGGACAAGCAGCAGCTTTCAACGCAGGTGCCCTTTGCCACTGAAAAACAGCCCCCAGACTGTTATTTGCAAATGCTGGGAGTAGAGGGCAAGGGAGGAAAAGGACACCAGACATGAAGGAGGCTCAAACATTAAGTACCATGGATATTTTGATGAAGTTCTATCATGTGATAAAAAGTGGATCAGTATGCAAGAGGGGAGATTTCGAAAGAACTGGAGCAGAGAAATCCCCACATACCTGGTGTTGGCTGGTTTTGAGAAGGAAAAAGGTCTGAATTTTAGTAA